AGGACCTGACCCTGTACTAGCACAGCTGTGCCCATTCGCCTCAACCTAGTTCTGGCCTACCTATCTGCCTGCCTGCCTTTTTGCCTCTTGTCTTTTTTTTTCTTTCTTGACATTGCAGTTTTATTTTAGCAAAAAGGATACCGATAAAGAAACACAAAGGGCGCAGTATGGGCTGTTTGCTAACACGAAGCTTCCACGTCCCAAGGAACATACCACCTACCCGGGTACACATGAATATCTATCACCAACAGGAAGCTCACTAAACTTTCATAGTCAAAAGGTTTTTTTTATTGTTTATTTAAATTTTTTGTAGTTTCATTAGATAGGTATAATTGATTGAAAGTCAAACCCAAGCCTTCAGTCCCTACCCTCACCTTCCTGTTGATATCAGGGGGTAAGTGTCTCCAGCCTGGTCACTTCCCACCCAAGTGACCTTTTTTCAATCTGTGGAGCAAGCCCGGTCCTAATATATCTCTAATACTGTATTAAGTACATACACCCAAATCTAAAGGCAAACACATTAATGGCTGCCCTTTCATGCCCTATAGAGTTCTTTCAAAAACTCTTGTGTTGATGAACACACAGGTCATTCAAATCCCCACACACCTCCTTCTAGGGATTTGTGTCCTCTGTCTTTCTCCCATAGTGCTCATCCTTCCGACTTGTCTTATCCACCTATTGTATCTACTCCTCAAGGCCTGGTAGAAAACACCTCCCTGTAACATGTATAAATACACCTGCCCATGGTCCTAACTGAGGAATATGTAAGTCATCTCCCAGCCAAGCAAGCTCTAGGAACCCACGGCCCTTGTCTATGGAGGAGGAATTCGGCAAGTCCTTTTCAGTGACTGAGTGACCCCACATTTTGAGCTTCAGTCTGTGGTTAGCAGCAGTTTTCCTAAGCTTTCTCATAATTACACACAGGGAATAACTTTCTGTGGCAGAGTTCTCTCAACAGCCAGGACTGATTTCATGTCTCTTCATTTCTGACTGCATCTTATGCTTCTGATTCTGATCAAACCTGCGGATTCTTGCTGTATGTGGACTGGGAGAGTTATGAACATTTACAGGAAACATTCTCCAGGAAAGAAATGAAGAATAACGAAGAGTCCCCACAGCCCATGTTGATTCAGGAGACTCCTCTGAGTGGTACAAGCTATTAATGCACTTAGATGCTAACAGAAAGGTTGGTGATGTAAGTCCAGCTGTGCCCAGGTACAAAGACCTGGTGATCTACCTCCGAACAATCAGCCACTGAGAATCCTATGACGCGCAGTTCTGCTCTGACTTATATGGAGCTGGAGGTGACTTCTGGGGCAACATGAGTTATGCCTCAACCCTGTGTCTTCTCTCAAAGGATAGAAAATCACTATCTTTCCGGCCTTTTCATGTAAATGGTGTGTCCAGAGGCACAAGAGGGATGCAAAGTACTTAAGAGGAACTTAGAAGGAGTCCCTGAGTGACAAACAAGCAGACTCTGGGCAAGAAGGCAGCAGCTGCAGCCTTTATGAGCCAGGTCCTGGGAATGAAATGTGCCTTAATGTAAACAAACTCCTGTGAACAATGCCTTCCCTATTTTAATCTCTCATGGGGATCAGCGCCAAACTAGGAACAACTCTGTTTAATCCTAAAACCGGAATCCATCAGACATCAAACAGCCATGTATCCCCCACAGTGGCAGTCACAGCCAGCAAGCGTGGGACACTTGTCATGGTCCTCACCCCCACCTGCCACTCGCTTCTACCTCCTTTGGTTTTGCATAGCTTGGATGTGCTGCAGTCATAAAGGGATGAGGACTGGCATGCCTGGCCCACCGTGGTGAGAACTAAAACCACACTAATGAGCTTTCTGACAAGAGGACAGAGGACAGCAGAGGCTCCATGCAGGAGAGCAGGGTTCAAGTCCTGGCCAGTACACCAACTGTCAGTGAGTGTTGCTGTGACACTGAGCAGATTTCTGCAGCGCTTCTCAACTATACTGAACTAGGAAAATAGGCTTGGCAACCTACTTCTGAAAATCAGCCAATGAAAATCCTATGAACCATAGTGCCCCAATCCATGACCCATGAGGGGGATGGCACAGGAGCAGGCAACATAGACTTCCACTGTGAGTGGGGTCAGGGGCTGACTAGACTGTAGCTAACAATAGCAACAACAAGATGTATGGCCAAGAGGCAAGCCTGTCTCCAGGGCAAAGCTCCTCATTTTATGCAAAAATAGATCAAATGAAAGACAGAATCAGCCTCTACAACCTGGCTTCCATACTCTCCACAAGTGGGGATCCCCATTGGTATTGTGCCTCCTCTGTAGTTTATATGCAATAAGTATGTGAGGGCTTCAAAAATTGTGGACATTTTGAACCAAAAGACAATGGAATTCTTCCACAAACTTCTTGAAACCCCCTTGTAAACTCGACTACAAGCAAAGTCAGTACAAAAAAATGTACTAAAGGTAAAAGTACATTAATCAATGGCAATTCCTAAAAACCTCTTTTTTTTTTTTCTTTTTAGGGGTGATGACATTAAAGGTAATAATCCTGAAAATGAATGGTTTTACAAGAATATTTTTAAAAGACACTATCCAGTTTTGTTTTGTTTTGGTACAAGTTGATTTTGTATTGTTGTTGTTGTTATGTGCCGTGGAGTCGGTTCCGACTCATAGCTTCTGAGGCTGCAAATCTTTACGGGAGCAGAAAGCCTCATCTTTCTCCCACGGAACAGCTGGTAGTTTAGAACTGCTGACCTTGTGGCTCGCAGCCTGATTCGTAACCTATACTGTATAGTTGATTCTTATTTTCAAAATATACCAGAATATCCATTTGTAATGAGACATTGACAAGGGGCACTGATTACTACCGTTGTGATCCACAAGTTTTCCAATATAATTTTTAGTGGATTTTTACAATTTCATTTCTTTCCCAATTGCACATTTTAAATTTAAAACATCCTGCGCATTTCAGTTTCTTCGTTTATTTTCTTAACATTATGATTTGGCTTGGAAACCAGGAAACCAGTAAACCAGCTGCTGGTAAGTCGATACCAATTCATGGCATTCTCATATGTGTCAGAGTAGAACTGTGCTCCAGAGGGTTTTCAGCAAGTGATTTTTCAAAAGTTCATCTCTAGGTCTTTATTCCAAGGTGCCTTTGAATCCGTTTGAACCTCCAGCCTTTTAGCTAGCAGAGGAGCATGTTAACCATTTATACCACCCAGGGATTCTCAGGGCATTTAAGTTCTCGCCTATTAGACTTTGAAATTCTTAGAGGTAAAGAGCAAAGCAAACCAAAGCCAAACGTAAGGGCTTTGTTTTCCCTGTGAATCTGAACCATGGCCACCCACACAAATACCTTAGGTCATGAGGCCAGACTATTGTCCCCACAGATGGCATATGCCCTTGGTCAGAGGTTGGCTGCCCAACAGCAGCTGATGCGATCTTGTTCCAGTGAGGGCCTGAGTGTTAAAGCTTCTGATGTTTTAAGAGATGCTGTAAATCTGGAATTTTATGGAAAATCCTGCTTTTTAAATACTGGCTCACGTTTTGTTTGTTTCACTTTTAAATTCACCTTGTTAGAAGTCCTGATCGGTTACTAGAACCACCAATTTGCAACCCCCATTTTACACCAAAAGATCGTTGAGTGGTGCAAATGGTTTGTAATAGGTTGCTAATTGAAAGGTTGATGGTTTGAACCCACTCAATGGTGTTATGGAAAACAGTCCTGGTGATGTGCTTCTGTAAATACATTATAGTCAAGAAAGCATTACAGGGCAATTCTATTTTGTAATATACGTGGTTGCTATGAGTCTGAATCAATTAGTCAGCAATGAGGCTATTTGATGTTTAATTAAACTCGCAAATAGCCCTTAGAAGTGTGTGTTGACCCCTCCACCTAGCTTTATTCTTGTCCCTTCTCAATTGCATCCTTCACAGAGACTTTTCCAGAACACCAGCTCAAAAATGGCACTGAGCATCCCCACTGTCCATGCCCTGACTTACTTGTTTTCATGATACTCAGCAGCTCTTGGTACAACCTGTTCATTTTTTTCAGTTATCATCTCTCCTAGTGAGAATATTTGCATGTTTTGTTCCCCACATACCCTCATTTCCTGGAAATGCGTCCAATACATACCGGGCACACAAGTATTATGTACTAAATCGATAAAATAACACACTTACTCCTCACTTATCGACAGAGTTAGGGTCCAAAAATCAGGTCATTTTGTGAAAATCAGTGTTATACAAAAATGGAGGAAAACCACATCAGATCACAACATTGAGGATGATGACATCATTACATAACTGCCCAATTACATCATTGTATGACTGCCAAACCACTGAGAATCATGGCCTGGTCACGCTGACACAGGGTCTTAACCATCCCAGACAGTGTTAGTTTCCGTAGCCCTGACATTCATTACTACCAGATGTCTGTCATTAATGTGCAAAAGAATCCAACAGACTTTTTACTACTGCCATCAGGGTGAAATGCCAGATAACAAGCTAGCTGATAAGTGAGGAATGCTGTTGCTGTTGTTAATAGAGACCCTGAATAGGGTTTCACAGGAGCAGTTGGTGAGCTTGACCTGCTAACTTTGCAGTTCAAACTAACCTTGCAGTCCAGCACATTAACCCACAGCACCACATCAGGCCTCCAAATAAGAAATATTGTTGTTTGTTGATGTTAAGTACCATTGAGTCAGTTGGGACTCATAACGACCCTGAATAGGGTTTCTGAGGAGCAGCTGGTGGGTTTGAACTGCCAACCTTGTGGTTCAAATTGACCTTATGATGCAGCACACTATCCTGCAGCGAGCGCCAAACCTAGCATCATCTGTCAGTCTGCTGTACTGTGGTGGCTTGAGTCTGCAGAGCACTTATATCTGCCTCCTTTCTCGTCTCCTCATTAGAATCAAAATCAAAAGGTCTGTCAGGGTATACCTGAGGGAAGAGATTGATACAAAGATTCTGCAAGACTGTCCATTGGACAAACACAGATGGACATACCTTTGAGAATGGGCTTCTCACCAATGCTCCGGATACTGTAGATGGCACTGGAAAGTGGTGCCTCTGGGATTAGCTCTGCGAGCAGATAGCCGGAATACCAGGCACACAGCAAGGTGAAGAAGAAGAAGAATGCCTTCACAGTACCTGGTGACAAACAGCAAGACCTTGACTATGGCTTTGTCCATTGACAAATGCCATCGGACAGCCCCTACCTTGTGACACACCTAATTCATGTACCAGCCTTTTTCCATGCCAGCAGATTTCTCCACATCCCGTGTTTCATATTATCAGACTTAGCTAAGGAAGAGTAAGTCTTGGTGCTAGAGTTTGCTGGTGGGAGGGATGGAACATTAAGGCAGAGAAGCTGGACTCTATAAAGACGTATGAGGCATCGGGAGTGGAGGCAGATTCATTAACAGTGTGTGATATGCAGATGGCATAACCTGAGGACTTGCAACACTTTGTTGTTGTTGTTAGGTGCCATAGAGTTGGTACCGACTCATAGCTAGCCTATGCACAACAGAACAAAACACTGCCCAGTCCTGGGCCAACCTCACTATTACTGCCATGCTTGAGCCCATTGATGTTGCCACTTTGTCAATCCATCTCACTGGGACTCTTCCTCTTTTTCTCTGACCCTTCACCATACCAAACATGATATCCTTCTCCAGTGACTGGTCCCTCCTGACAATATGTCCAAATTATGAGAGATGAAGTTTGGTCATCCTGGTCTCCAAGGAGCCCTCTGGCTATACTTCTTCCAGCAGATATCTGTTGGTTCTTTTAGCAGCCCATGGCATTTTCAATATTCTCCTCTAACCATGACTCAAATGCATCAATTCTTCTATGGTCTTCCTTATTCACTGTCCAGTTTTGAACACATATTTGGTTACTGAAAATACTATGGCTTGGGTGAGACGCACCTTAGTCCTCAAGCTGACATCTTTGCTCTTCAACACTTTAAAAAGATCTTGTTCAGCAGATTTGCCTAAAGCCATACCTTGTTTGATTTCTTGGCTGCTGCTTCCATGTGTGTTGATGGTTGATCCAAGAAGACTGAAGTCCTCTACAATTTCAATCTTTTCTCCCTTGATAAGAATGTTGTTTATTGGTCCAGCGGAGAGGATTTTTGTTTTCTTTATATTGAGATGCAATCCATACCGAAGGCTGTGGTCTTTGATCTCCATCAATAAGTATTTTAAGTCCTCTTCACTTTCAGCAAGCATGATTGTATCATGTGCATATCACAGGTTGTTAATGAGTCTTCCTCCAATCAAAACTGATAGCTTTTAGTATGGATTACACTGGAATTTGAAGAAAATGAAAACCCTCACAACTGAAAACATCAAGAAGAACAGTGAAGAAAAAGAAAGAACTAAAATTAATATTGTAACTGAACATCTCCAACAATTAGAAAAACAGCACCAAAAACCCCCACATACAGTCTCCAGAAGAAAGGAAATCATAAAGATTAGAGCAGAAATAAATGAAACAGAAATTAGTAAAACAATAGAAAGAATAAAACAAAAAATTAGCTCTTTGAAATGATTAAAGAAATGACAAACCACTAGAAAATTTAACAAAGGAAGATTACGGTTATGTGCCTTGGAGTTGGTTCTGACTCATAGCCACCCTGCATTAGGCTTCTGAGGCTATAAATCTTTACCAGAGCAGAAAGCCCCATCTATTTCCACAGAATGGCTGGTACTTTCGAACTGCTGACCTTGAGGCTAGCAGCCTGACTAGAAACCACTACGCTACCAGAAGAGAAGATGTATATAACACAAATAAAAAATGAAATGGTCAATGGCACAACAGAAACATAAAGAATAATAACAGGATACTATGAAGAACTATAACGAGTTCTGGTAGCGTAGTGGTTACGAATCGGGCTGTGACCGGCAAGGTCAGCAGTTTGAAACTACCAGCTGTTCCACAGGAGAAAGATGAGGCTTTCTGCTCCCGTAAAGAATTACAGCCTTGGAAACCCTATGCAGGGTCGCTATGAGTCGGAACAGACTCCACGGCACACAACAACAACATGAGGAACTATAAAAAGTCCTGGTGGTATTGTAGGAAAACACTGGTTCATCCTACAGACTTCACAAAGTTAGCAGTTCAAATCTACCAGCTGCCCAATGGTAGAAGGATGGAGGCAGTGTGTTCCTACAGGAATGTGTAGTCTTGGAAACCCTATATAGATTGATTCACTTGAGTTGGAATCAACTCCATGGTGGTAGGATGAGGAATTGTATGTACTCCCCAAAATGTGAAATCCTAGAAAAAAAAAAAAAAAAAAAAGAACAGATTTCTAGAAATACACAATCTACACCAAATAATAAACTGAGGTACTGAATTTGAATAGAATGATAAGAAAAGAAGAGACTGAACAAGTCAAAAGAAACCTGCCAACAAATAAATGCCCTGGCTTAGACAACTTTACTGGAGAATTCTACCAAACATTCAGAAAAGACCTGACACAAATTCTACTCAAACTACTACAGAACATAGAAAAGAATGAAATATTCCCAAATTAATTCAATGAAGAAAATATAACCCTGCTACCAAAACTAGGCAAAGATAGCCATAAAAAAAGAAAATTGTTGAATTATTCCTCCTATACATAAATGCAAATTTACTCAACAAAACCCAACACCATTTCAAAAATTTAATAATCATGACCATGTCGAATTCATACCAGCAAGGATGGTTCAACATTAGAAAAATAAACAATGTAACTCACTACACTTAAATAAAACTAAGGAAAAGAAGCACATGGTCATATCAATCAATGCAGAAAAGGCATTTGATAAAATCCAACACCCATTCCTGATTAAAAACAACAACAAAAACACTAAGCAAAATATGAATAGAAGGGAAATTCTCAATATAATTAAGAACAGCCACCACTCTTTTTTTCAGTTTGTACTGTCTGTGGTGGCTTGTGTGTTGTTGTGATGCTGGAAGCTATGCCATTGGCATTTCAAATACCAGCAGGGTTTCCCATTGTGGGCAGGTTTCAGTGGAGTTTCAAGACTAAGACAGACTGGAAAGAAGAAGAGACAAACCACTAAAATATTTGCCCTGAAAACCTTATGAATAGCAACAGAACATTGCTTAGTATGGTACTGGAAGATGAGCCCATCAGGTGGGAAGTCACTCAAAATATAACTGAGGAAGAGTTTCCTCCCCAAAGCAGAATCAACCTTAATGATGTGGATGGAGTGGAGCTTTCAGGACCTTAGTTTACTGATGTGGTATGGCTTAAAATGAGAAAAAACAGCTGCAAACACAGAACATTAATGACAGATCTGATGAGTTGAAGGTTGGCAACAAGAACATCATTCATGAAGAAAGCAAAAGACAGGGAAAAAAGAAAAGACCAAAATGGATATGAAAAGAGACTCTACACTTCTACAAGAAAAAGACAAATAACTCAATTAAAAAGTGGGCACAGGATATGAACAGACACTTCACTAAGGAAGAGATCCAGGCAGCCAACAAACATATGAAGAAATGCTCACGATCATTAACCATTAGAGAGATGCAAATCAAAACAGCAATGAGATATCATCTCACACCAA